CGTTTCAGAACATCTCCATTCAGCTTAATGAACCGCAAGTCACTATAAGAGAGCGCTTGCTTACATTTCTTGAGAACAAGGCCTTGGCTGCAACACCAGTTGCAAGGCCAACATATGGGTCAGCAGCAAGTGCAACTCCTCTTGATGTCCAGCTGAAAAAGTATTGGTTGTTTGTCCCGCTGGTTAGTATTTCCAGGACACTGTTTTGTAATATTGTTCTTCATCTTTGTTTATTTATTCTTCATTGCCATGGAAGCTATGCTTCCAAAAAAAAAAAAAAGATGCAATGAGACCATTGGGGATGAATTTGGATGTATAGATGGATGTATGTTGCTTCTGTTGCTTTATTACTAAAATTTCACTTATACTTACTGTAATGAATTGAGTTTAGGTTGAATTAATCTCATCTTTGCCAACAGAAATTCCAACTCAAGGTGGAGGACATTGGTACAAAGTTTGTCAATAATGTTGGACAGATGGCTCTACAGGGCACACTTGCAGGCATTGACCTTCAGACTCATCTGACACGGGAAGGGGCTCTTGGTAGGCTAGGCTTAAGTGGATAACAATATCTTTTGTTAAAATGAGAGATAATGCTTAAAAACCTAGACAGAAATTAATATATCCTTGGAAATGAGGTTCTATTTCATTATTGGATCAAAAAACTGCAAATTATTTCAGGAAATGAAGTACTGAGAACATTTTACTAATAAATAAATAAATATTACATTGTTAAACCCTTCAACTTTTCCCCCAGAAAATTTTCCTGCTCTGTTGCCTGACTTCAGCACAGAACTCCAAGTTGATAACATCAAGTTACATTGCACACATGATTCGTCTATATTTCTTAATAGATTCAATCTACAAACTCAGGTGAGACTGGTAAAGAGAACCTACTGTGATATTTGTATATTTGTTGTTCTTATTTTATTATGTGTAATTCAAACTTGTATATCAGTTTTCTCGATATATGTTATTAGCTGATGATAAAGACAGAAAAAAGTCTCTCTCACAATACTGAATTTGAGTTCAGAAAAACAGAAAATGTGTCTTTGGCAATACTGAATTTGAGTTCTGAGAACAGAATATGTGTCCCTCGCAATACTAGATTTGAGTTCAGAGAACAGAATATGTGACTCTGGCAATACTGAATTTGAGTTCAGAGAAGAGAATATGTGAACATCCTGGTATCTTGTTCAACAGTTTGTTGGGGACAGAGTAAACATGAAGAGTGAGTTCCGTTCACTTCACATCTTTTATGACCACAAAGACTTAGGCTTCTGGACTGGTTATATGACCAGGAGGAAGTCACAACCTGCAATGCCAAGTTATGTAAGTTACGAGTTTTTTTAGTTGAATTAGTCATTATTTTTTATTGTTATTGAAGTTTTCTATAATTACCATTACTTTTATTACTTTTCTGTTATTGTTATTGTAAAGAATATCATCAATGTATTGTAGCATAAGTGTTTTAATTACTTGTATTCATTATTATTATTATTTTTTTTACAGATTCCAGATCAAACCAATAAGGAAAAAGTAAAGCCATGGAATGGTGCTTTCCATAGATATTGTGTTGGTCTGATAGTAGAGATGTGGGATGTCACATGTGGAGGCTGCGTCCCTGGCTCTCCATACAGCCAGCTGATGCTTCAACATGCACGCCACAGTGTCTTTGTGTCACAGTGGACCACAGAAGTAGAAGGAGAACTCTTATTAGAGTCCATGGTGGCCACTCTCAGATCAGGTCAACACAGTGGCTCCCAGATGGTAGCATCAAGTGCAGCAGCAACCCCAAGGAGAGTCCATCAGTGGGGAACACCTATGTGTATTGGTCTGTGTCTAGTCCAGCTGTCATCTGTGGCTCCTCAGTCAGCCAGAAGCAACATGTCACTGCCTCCTCTTCAGGCTGAAGCTCTTCTGGACAACATACAATTAGAATGGAGCCCTGAATTGGCCTTGCTTGTAACTGCCATTCTCAGGTATAATTAATCTTGTACATTGCATACAAAATTGTCAGAAATTGAAGTTCTTTGTGATCAGTATTCATGAAGTAAGCTGTTCAATAGAATTAAGAGGAATCTTACATGATGCTTGAAATACATTTCATTATTTACTCTATAAATTGCAGATCACAAAATTTCAAAATTATCCAGTCAGTAATAAACATAAACTTTTTGTGATTTATTGAATATTTCTAGATGTATTTATCTGTTCCTTTTTTTATTACTCTTTGTATCTGATAAATGTCTTGAACATATTTTATATAGTTATGTGATATTAAAAAAAAGAGGGAATTAACATTTTATTGCTTGCTTATGTTACAGATATTCAAGGGAGCTCAAGGAATATACAAAGAACATGAAACCCAGGAAAGTACAAGAAAGTGATTCTGCTTCTTCTGTAGAAACCTTCAGCAGTATGAGTGTAAAATGCACAAACATCAATGTGTTTGCTGTCACAGAGCAAAAAGGTGTGGATTCAATGCTGCAGATAGTGC